TCTACATCCTGCCATTCTTTCTGAGAATTTGGTCTCACAGGATTGCTTTGTCACAAAACAATGTCAGTCACCATAAATGCATTTTACATTTTGTCATGACTGTACTTTTCTTACTTATGTAATTGCCATCATTTACAAAGTGCTTACCATGTAGCAGGTGTTTTACATACATTGTGTTATTATTTTATCCTTACAACTCTGCAAGTCACATATTTCCCCCTTTTTATAGATGAAGGAACTGAGATTTAGATAAGTAATATGCCCAAAGCCACACACTGCTGATGGAGCTGGGATACAAACCCAAGTTGTAACTTCAGAGTTCGTGTTTCTTTGACCAGACATCCCGTTTGCCAAGACTTTTCCTGGTTCCAGCCCACAAAGGAGCCTGCCTTCATGATTAGAGCTTGGCCTCAGTGGCCGTCTCATCAACATGGCTTCCAATGACCACTCTTTTTATTCTCTTAGGAAGCCAAAGAACAACGCTGCATCTGCCACTGATGTCAGTAGCACCTGAATTACGTGCTTCTCCTTAAAATGTGGCCAGATGACATTTTGGTCTGGATGATAAAAAATGAATAAATAATGTGGCCCAAGTGTTTAAGAGCAAAATAGTGACACTGATTTATCAGGGTGGCTCTGTCACATCTGTTATTATCTAATTCAAGCATACAGATATCCTTACCTGACATGACAGTCTTAAGGCATGTGTGTTTGGTATCAAGCCCTCAAAAACATCTTTTTACATCTGATGATTTACTGAAAAACCTAATACCTTTTCTGGTTTTCTTGTTGTTTGAGTCCTTAATGCAGGCCAGGGACTGTGCCAAATGCTTTACAGACATTATCTCATTCCATCCTCAAAACAAAAAAAAAAATAAAAACCCTATGAACAAAATATTACAATCACCATTGCACAGATGGATAAACTGACCCAGAGAGTTTAAGTGATCTGCCCGCAGTCACCGAATTGAACAGGATTCAAATTTCAGGCTGTCTAACTCTAAACCACCTTCCCTCTTGGGAGCAGAGAGAATAGACTTTGTTGTAATTAGAAAATATATAACAGCATCTCGTGTTCCCCAGAATGGAGGCATCTGGACTCACAGGGCCATCGGTGGAGCTCTCTGATCACACAATGTTCAGTGGTATAACTCTGGCTTGGGAGGGTGCAGGTTGCCAGCACAGTCATCTCTAACAGGCTTCTGCCTAAAGCCTCCAACACCATCAAAAATGTAATTCTCTGTTGACTTAGAAATGAACTACCTAAGCACTTCTTCTATTACTTTTAAATTTTTCTCTGGCTATTACAGATTCGAGGCATCTCTTGAGAAGACAGCATGCTTGTCCAAGCAAGCAGAAATTTAAGAAACACTTTGGCGCATGTCCATGCCTGAAGTTGATGACTTATTTGCAACCTTGATAACACAGATTTTTCTGCCGATAAATTGCTTAAATTTCTTTGACAACTCTTTCACCCTATTTTTCCACTGACTTACTCTGTCACCATGGATGTATAATCAATTAATGATGTTTTCAATGTGTGGCATTCAGTATGGCAAACAGTTCTGGGATTATTTCCCTGCTAGCTTTCATCAACAAAAAGAGTCAAACTCTAAAATATTTTAAGAGATTTATTCTGAGCCAAATATGAATGACCATAGCCCGTGACACAGCCCTCAGGAGATCCTGAGAACATGTGCCCAAGGTGGTCGGGGTACACCTTGGTTTTATACGTTTTAGGGAGGCATGAGACATCAATCATCAATCAAATACATTTAAGAAATCCATTGGTTTGGTTCAGAAAGGCAGGACAACTCCTAAGTATAAATACAAAGTTGGATGCAATTAGCCAATATGCAATGCATAAATATTTAAGCAATGTTATAGTGATTGAAGAGATAAGAGGAGTGAAATTTGAAAAGATGAACCTTCAAAGAGATGTGAAGGGTGAGGTTCAATAGCCTAAAGGGATATACAAATGCTGGCTGCTATTAAAAATACCAGTGTTATGTGTTGAGTGCAGAGTCCACATAAGGAGCTTTAGACAGAGGGGTGAACAGGATAAGGGGGTATCAGTGAGGGGAAAGAAAGATATGGGGAGTTGGTTGGCGTAGATGAGGTACAAACCCCATCCAGTGGGAAGCAGGAAATGCATGGTTAGGTGAAGACAGTGAAAGGGCGGCAGAAACTCATGCCAAAGGGCTTGGATCATATCTGACCAACAGTGTGGAGTTACCACAGTTTTCTGAGTAGAGGACGTGTCGCTAGGTCCAATTTTTTTAAGTTACACTCTGACAGCATGGCCCCGTTACTTAGCCGCAATACGGTGCATTATGATTTAATACTGCCAAAGAGAGATGGGATCTCACAGCTGCTGATTTTTAAGGCTTTTCAGAAGATAAGAGTTAAGTAAGAACCTGCTTTTCCTGCTTGCTGGAAGTTAATGACTTTGATGCTTTGCAAAAGAAAGTAAAAGGGTTGTTAAGTCAGAGTGCTCACCCTCTGGGCCTGCGGGTTATGATTTTTTAATGCTTTTCAAGTGGGAAAAGATCTCAAGTGAGTGTCATCCCTGCATGCTAGAAATATATGTCTTTCAGACAGCAGCCGGCACAGCCTCCCGCACACCCGCTGCTCTGCCTGATTCGCTGCAGTCACATTTTAAATTTTGGAACGTTGCCATAACTCAGTTGACCCAGTTCACAGGTCCACAGGGGCAGTGACCTTGGTGCTGCAACTCAGTCCAGCACCTTGTTGTTTCTCCCTCTTGCCCCAGGTCAGGGGGTGTCCTGAGCCTTCAAAATTTCGCCTCAGTTGCATCCCTACTCTTTCCCCCTCTCTGCCACTACGTCTGTCCACTTACCCTCAAACCTGTCTTCTCTTCTCCAAATAGGGATCCATTTGTCAGGTACTGAGGAGCCACACAAACCAGGTGGTGTGTTTTTTCTGTAACAGAGAACATGGTATGTGCTGAGGGGTGAGGGCTGGGGACTACAAAGAAGCTCCCCACAGAGGAGAGCACCCCAGGTCCTGGAAAAGTCAAGGAAGCTGCAAATGCAAGACTCAGCCATCTTTTGGTCAACACTCTTCGCCTGAAGACCTAGAAAATCACAGACCAGCACAGGCACCAGGGAGTCCTCTCCTGCCAATCACAGGGGACTGCAGAGCCCAAGGTGGGACTGGGCGGTGGGGACAAGTCTGGGTCACCACATCGTGTTCTGCAATCCTGTGGTCCCAGATCTGCCCTGGCACCAGTGCTCAAATCTCTCCAGGGACAAAGGAAGACTGAGAAGGCATGGAGGCCCATGCAAGAGTCAGGCCACACTCTTGAGAGGGACCCTCAACCCACCCCAACCCACCTCTGTTCTTTTAATAACCTGGAAGCCACAAAGAAGTCAGTGGAAACCGCAGGTGAGGCAAATCAGAAAGAAACTAGGACACTACAATTTAAAATAAGAATAATAACAAGATATGATTTTATATACAGCAGGATTGGACACCTCACACACACACACACACACACATATTCATACACACACCAAATCTCAAAATACTAAAGTTGGCAAGGCTAAGGGGAAACGGGAACTCCTAAACTGCTGAGGATAAGTAAATCATTACAGTAACCTTGGAGAGTGATAAGTTGACTAGTTCACCCCCAAATCCAGCCACTTCACTTCATGTATATTTGCAGACAAACACTGCATTTGAGTAAGTTGGTGACATGGATGAAGCTCCTAACTTATTCATTAATGCAATGCCTATTTTATTGAGCACCTACTATATGCCAAGCACAATTCTAGGGTCTAAAAATTGAGTGTGAACATAAAACAAAATGTTTGCTTCCATGGAGTATATATACAGTCTTGTTTAAATAGGCAAAAACTGAAAACGACCTGAAAATATGTTGTTAGGAGAATGGACAAACACTGAACTAGAGATACCAGTATCAACACAGATGTGTTTTGGAAACAATGGTGGTTGGGTAGGGAAGAAACTTGCTGATACAAAATACTATGTGTACGACTAAAAACAAACACGTGAAAGTGTTTGCCGTGTGTGTTTAGGATGTTAAGCATACAAACGTTTGTTGTAGCACATTGGGTCCTTTTTTATTTTAGTTCAAGATATAGAAGTTTTTGTTTTGTATTGCTTTCAAATTTCAGAAAAGAATTAGGGGAGAGGAGGATTAAGACCTTATCTCCTAGTAACTCAGGTGCCGGAGGCTGCCCTAAATGTGCCTCTGGGATCCTGACCTCCAACCACCTGACCATTGTACAGGACAACTGGCAGAGAGAAGAGCAGAGTCCCCCTGCTGCTGCTGCTGCCCTAGACCTCAGCAAGCCGCTGGCTGGGCGCCTGCTGTGCCCACCTCCCCGCCACCAGCTAAGTCAGCAAGCGAGCAGAGCTCCGTAATTTCACCCACACTGCCATGGGAATGGAAATTTGCTCAGCCACTTTGAAGAGCAATCTGGCACTGTCTAGTAAAGTTGAAGAGACGCATACACTATTATTCAGAAATTCTGTTTTTAAGGTTTTACCCTACAGAAACTCTCAAACATATACCCAAGGAGACATGTGTAAATGTTCTTTGCAGCGTTGTTTATAATGGCCAAAAATCGAAAATGGCGTCATTATCCATCATTAGGAGAACAGATAAAATCAGACATGTGTATTCAGTGAAATACGATGCTGCTGTAGAGATGATGAGAGCCACACATGTCAGTGGGAATCCATCTCACAAACGTGGCTGAGGAAAAGGGCGAGTTGCAGAGTCCTCCACAGTGAAATACGATTCACATAAAATTGCAGCTGTTCTGAACAGTCCCACATACTGTTGATCAGTGCAGGTATATGGGGTGAAAGTACGAAAACACTTGGGAAGGATGAATGCCAGGTTCAAGGGTGACTTCTGGGAAGGGAGAAAGAATAGAATTAGAGAGGAGTATATATGGGACTTCAGCTGATACGGCGCTATTTTATTTAATTAAGAAAAACGAAAACCTAGCTTTGCGCAGTGGCAGTATCATAGCCAATGAGATTTATCCGAGGCGCGATTATTGCTCATTGGAAACTTTTCCCAATACCCCATGAGGATGACTTGAAATATAGTCGGCATTGGCAATTTCTGACTGTCTCTACAGACACTGAATTAAAAAAGAGAGAGAGAGAGAGAGAGAGAGAGAAACCTGAAGCAAATATGGCAACATTTTTTAATTTAAAAGTATTGGGTGGTGAGTACCCAAACATTTCTTATGTTCTTTCATATGCTTTTCACTTTTGAATATTTAATAATATTTATTTATTATTTGTTGATTTATTTAGAAAGGGCAGGAAGAAAGGTGGCGCCTAGGTGAAGAGCCTCTGAGACGAAGAGAAGAGTGGGCCAGATGCGGTGGCTCACACATGTAATCCCAGCACTTTGGGAGGCCCAGATGGGTGGATCACTTAAGGTCAGGAGTTCGAAACCAGCCTGGCCAACATGGTGAAACTCTGTCTCTACAAAAAATACAAAAATTAGCTGGGCATGGTGGCATGCGCCTGTAATCTCAGCTACTCTGGAGGCTGAGGAAGGAGTTTGAACCTGGGAGAAGGAGGTTACAGTGAGCCCAGATTGCGCCACTGCACTCCGGCCTGGGCAACAGAGAGAGACTATGTCTTAAAAAGAGAGAGAAAGAGAGATGCACCTAAGAAAGGAAGGTGCTCCCTGCGTTAGCAGAGCTGAAACAGCAGCCAGAGAATGGTAAGGAGGGCATGGCCTCAGGGCAGGCCAGACAGACAAGGCTGGGCATGCAGGGCGTTATAAAAGAGGAGATGGTTTATTAGTGCAATGGAGAGGCACTGGGGGCTTTAGCCAGAGGAGTATTTATATTGGTCTGTTTACACCGATTATGTCACCTCCGTAGTCTGTGAAAGACGGAAAAATGCAGGACAGGAGCAGAGGCCAGGAAAAGGCTTAAGAGGCCTTTACGGTAATGTAGGCAAAGGACATTGGTGAACTCCACTGTAATGGTGGCAGAGAAGATGGAGCGAATAAGGTGAATTTGAGATATATTTTGAAGAGAAATCAATAGAACTGGGGCATGGATTAGATGTGAAGGATGACCGTGAGGTTTGGATTTGAGTAACTGGTGGTGCTGTTTACTGAGATGAGAAGGCTAGCAGGCATGAGAGCAGGAGCCATGACGGGAGCTGTTTGTGTGTGTGTTTACTTGTTCCCAGCAAGGAGGAGAGGGACAGTTTTATTTTAGACATGTCAAGTTCAAGATGATTGTGACCCACCCAAGTGGAGGAGTAGAGCTGGGCAATTGCATATTCAGGTCCAAAGTGCTCGGGAGAGGTTGAGTCAGATCAGGGGATACTAATCTGGGTGTCACCAGAGTATGATTTCCAGCCGTGAGATAGTGTAAATAGCAAACCCTGAGCAGCCCTACATTTAGTGTCAGGAGAAAGAGGAGGATCCAACAATCAGACTAAGAAGTGGCTGGCGAGGCAGGAGAATCAGGAGAGGGGGACGTGATGCGTTCCAAGACAGAAAAGCATTTCAGAGTGGAAGCATTGCTGAGCCGTGGAAATGCAGTGTGGCCGAGTCAGCAGAGGGCAGAGAATCCCTTGTTGGAGCCAGCAACACAGGAGTCTTTGTGACTTTAGCAGAAGCAGTTCAATGGAGTGGCGGGGGCTAAGGCCAGATCGCCCACGGTGAGGGAGTGAGTAGAGATTGCAGAAGAAGAAACAGTGTGGGTGAGTCTTCTGGCCCAAACAGAAGGGAGGCTGAAAAAGATGAGTGAGGCAAAGGAGAGGCTTGGTTTGCTTTGGATGTTCTTGTGCATGTCCATATGCAGATGAACAAAATCCCGTAGAGAGAGAAATTGATGGTGGGAAACAGTAGAAGGAATGAATGCAGGAAGGAGTGCTTTGAGAAGAGGAATGAGAAGGGAATCCAAGCAGTGCAGCCTCACTCAGCAAGTCAGGATTCTAACTCAAGCCTGTCTGACTCACACGCCATGCTCATTCCCAGGTGCCTCTTTCACTCACCCGTGACTATCCAACTCCCAAAGTCCACTGCATTAAATCCTTTACCACCATCTCCTCTAAAGACACCGGTTTTATAGTCTTCGCATTTCCATCTGGGTTCTGCGTCTACCCGAGGAACTGGAGGAGAAAACAAGCAAACTGAAGAAAATTAAATCTGACCGATTTTATGCATTCTATATAAATGCATGAAATAGATTATGTTTGACAGTGGTAAACGGAGAACCCAAAAAATATCCAATTTATCACTTTAATTATATATGCTTTTCTTCCTCAATCTCCAGCCAAGAATGAGCCTCCAGCCATTTTCGGTTTTTTCTGTGGTGCCATTCCCTAATTTCTAAAGCTGTTTTTGGTAACTACAGAATTCCAGTCAAGAATGTGTTATCTGAACCACGCTGAAGACTTAACATGCTGCCTACGATGGCACATGCGAGAAGGAATGCAGTGGGTATGTACAAAATTGAAAGTAAGGAAATAGAGAGCAGTGTGGAGTTCTGATTCAAGGCAACATCGCAGATTAAATTGATGTCCCTCCAAAGAAATGGACATTCTACTGCCACGAAGGAAAGTAATAGGTACTGAGTTATTTGGATACTAAGCTAATGCAGAGTCAACCAACCACCGTTGGGAAAGTAACCTTACCCTAAAATCCACTTATTCATGAATAAGAGAACGAGAGGGTAAGAGGACCTGAAAGAGGGCAGGTGAGAAGGCAGTTAGCAGCCATCACGCTGACTGTCGCTCTACCTGAGCAAAAGCAGGGAGCAGGGGGCCTCTACCTTATTGCAGTCTCCATCCCACACATAAGTGTTGAATACCTGTTTCCAGGCACTGAGGGTACAGCAAAGAGCAAGACAGAAATGGGCCTTACCCTCAGAAAGCTTGCAGTCTCTTGGGGTAGTGCACATAAGAGGCAATCACAGTACCGGGGGAAGGTGCTGAGCGCTCAGACAGGGGATGTATGTGCACCTAACTCAGCCTGGTGGGGGGACGGTGGCCAGGAAAGTGTTTCCGCGGGAAGGGTTGTTGTATAACTTTTAAATCTAAGACATGACAGAGATTTAGCCAGACTGGCAGTGAGGGCGGGCAGTCGGGAGATGACAAACAAGAAAAGCATACAGCACATGTGTGTGCACACAAATGCACAGCATCCATTATGTCAAAGGGTCATGTGAATGAGAACATTATTGCTGCTTTATTTTGCACTTTGGGGAAAGTCAGAGTCATGGCAAGCCGTTTCTGACTCTCAGTCAGGATGAGTGGTGATGTTGAACAATGTAAGAAACAGAAAAGGACCAGGTTGGGAGGTCGAGGCTGGGTTCAGCCTCGACACATTCAGTAAAAGGAGCCTCTGAGACCTCCACATGGAGCTCTCCAGCAAGCAGCCAGATACTTACATCAGAAGCTCAGGCTTATGGCTTGGGCTAGAAAGATACATTTGGGATTCATTGGATTAGAAGTAGCAGTTTAAACCATGGCACAGATGAGCATGCTTAGTGAGAGAAACACTCTCACTAAAAGGGCAAGTGGGAAGAGAAAAGGGCACGGGACCAGGGGAGGAAGAACTTCTTCACAGCCACTAGAGAAGGGAGGCTGAGCCTGCCGAAAAACATGGGAAGGTGTTTCTGGGAGGGATGGTAGGAAAACGGGACAGAGCTGCTTCATGGTGGTTCAACACGGAGGGAATGACCACAGGAACGATAGTAGCGTGCACCCATACAAAATGAGGACAAAAGCTGTCCATTGGATAGGCCAGAGGCGTGAAAGAACCACATCTGAAGCCAAATTGGAATGGGTTGAAGACGAGTGAGGAGTAAGCCAACACGCACCAGTGCTTGCCAAACCTTTTTTGCTTTGTGGAAATATGTAGAAAATTCTATTTCAGTGGACAATGGACAGTTGCGCAAGGCTGGTCCCAGCTGGAAGTGCAGCCCCATACAGATGCTCTGAGGGCTAAGGAAATCAATATTTTATAACACCTGTAGCCATTTGAGATACACCAATACATCTCAGAATACCAAGTGGGGAGGTCTGCCACAGAGCACTTTCTCAGCTAGCGTGGCTGTGAACTGGGGCTCCCAGAGGGGTGTGGAATCAAGGTGCACTTGCTGGCTTAGTTTGGTTTGGTTAGAAGAGTTTTTTAAAAAGACTTTAGCATCTTTCAGAAGCATCTGTGGAAAAAAATCCAGTTGAGATGGGGACACTGAATTCATGGGAGAGAAAAGGGTAATACAGCATTGGTGGTATAAATCTCCTTAGAAGATACAAAAGCATCCAATTTTAGGTGGAGGGGCAAATGTACATGATACCGTGTGTGCAAAAGTGTAATCCGCTCCACAATCCTAGAAATTGGATGTCCTTATTACCGTGTTACAAATGTAAAACCTGAAGCTTAGTTAGATTAAGTCACTGCCCCAGGTTCCTTGCCTAGTAAGCAGCATAGCCAGGACTATAACCTATATTTTTCTGACTCCAAAACTCCTAACAATTATGTTTAGGTGCTAGGCCTAGAGATGCAAAGATGAGCTAGATTCAGTCCTTGCCTTAGAAGAGGTCATATACTAAAAGTAGAGAGAAACACTAAAATAAATATAACACGGTGTGATAAATAAAATAACGGTGACATGGGGGAAAATGCTTTAGGAAGCACAAAAACTATACCCAAGTATATGCCTGTCACTTCCTGAACTCATGGAGGCAGGGATGGACTGGGAAAACCACAAGGGCTAAAGAGAAAAATACCGAGATGGATGGATGGATGGATGGATGGATGGGTGGGTGGATGGAGGGTGGATGGATGGGTGGATGGGTGACTGGGTGGCTGGGTGGCTGGGTGGATAGATGGATGGATGGATGGATGGATGGATGGATGGGTGGGTGGGTGGATGGGTGGCTGGGTGGGTGGATGGATGGATGGGTGGATGGGTGGATTGGTGGCTGGGTGACTGGTTGGATGGATGGGCGGATCAGTGGCTGGGTGGGTGGATGGATGGATGGATGGATGGATGGATGGATGGATGGGTGTCTGGGTGGCTGGGTGGATGGATGGATGGATGGATGGATCGATGGGTGGATGGGTGGATGAGTGAATGGGTGAGTGGGTGGCTGGATGGATGGCTAGAGAATAATAGTTCAATATGAATAAAGAGTCCTTCCTTAGGGCAAGTGATGTTCATGTAGCCACAAAAGGTCGCTGCAGACCCAATGCAGATGAATTTTTTCCATTGGTGCTGCCATGCTCTCTCCAGTAGCTTTCAGGGAGAAAGGGGTTAGGATGGAGAGAGGGAATGAGGGTGGTAACCAGATGCCCCATAGCATTTTCTGCCCTCTATAGGCCAGACCCAGGGCTTCATGACTAGTCTGGCTCCATCTTCACCCTACTCCTCGTCATTTCCACTCTTGTCCTAAGTTTTAGGCTTTTGAGATGTTTCTCCAATGTGTTCTGCCTTTCAGACCTAACTCAGAAATGGTCTCAGGTTTCTTCTCAGGCCTGCAGTTCTATCTAAGAATGAGACTCCAACCCCAGCTGGCTTTCTGGCTAAGTGCATTTGCACAAATTACTTCATCTTTCTAGGCCTCACCAAAACACTAAGGTTGGGAGGAGGGCTGTGGTCGTCCAAGGCTTCCTGATCCACACTTCTTACACCTTCACCAGGCACTTCCTGCTGGCCAGGCATTGGCTTAAGCCTACAGGATCCAAGAAGGCAGACACTTGTCACATGTAGCGGTTTAAATTTTTTTAATTTCAACTAAAATAAAAACAATTAAAACTTCAGTTTCTCCATCTCACGAGTCAATTTCAAGTGCCTCATAGCTCTATGCAGCTACTGAACTGGACAGCCCAGAGAACATTTTCATCACTGAAAGTTCTATTAGACCTTGCTGTCTGAGTGCATTGCATGTTTTTAATCTTGTTTAACAAGATTAAAACAACCCTATGATGCAGGTATAGTTATTTATCCACTTTGGGGATCAGGACCCTGAGACACAGCCTGGATAAAAAAGTTAGCCAAGGTCTCTCACTATGTTCGGATCCAGGGTGAGGATCCAAGCTCAGATGTTTGGCTTCAGGGCCTGTCAATCATGCAGAGCTGTCTGCTACCCCAAGCTCTCCTGCTCTCCCCTCTCGCCTCCAGGAGCTGCACTGACTTATCCTATTCCCCAGTGGCCACTGTCCCTGACTACTGCCATCCTGACAACTGACTCTGAGTGATGAGGGCAACGAGGCCTGGAGCATCTTCTAGATGAGGATCCGCACTCTATTTTTCTCCCACCTCCTGTTAGCCCCTCAATTCCCCTAGAGTATTAGTGTTAGTATCATGGGTTTTCCCATCTCCCCTAACCCATCCCATTCTCAGTTCAAGGTCAGCCTGAATCCTGGAAGATTCCTAACCTGCGCAGCAGCCCTGTTGCTGTTCTTCTAGGGTCACCTTCATCCCCAAGGGAATGACGTGCAGCCAGCTCAGCTCAGAGAGCCCGTTTCACCAACACCTCTGAAGGTGATGCAGCAGCATCTCACTCTGCAGGGGAAGTGCGAGAAGTCGGGCTGCAGTTCACACTCTCATGCTGCTGGAACCCAGTGAAAGCAGAAGTTGCCAGGGCCAGGGCTTCAACCATTCTGTGTGCAAACCACAAGCGTTTGCAAGCTAGACCATTTGCGGTTGTCCCCTTTCTCTCTCCTGCCCCAGCTGCTACTCTGCAGGGCCTCCACATACCCACAGGACCTGCAGCTGAATGAAGCTGGAGGCAACTCAGGAGATCTGTCGGAAAGAGAACGATACAGGAAAATGTTTGAATGTTGCCATCTTCAGGTGACTGGACAAGAGATCCACTTCCTACTCTACTTCCTCACTCCTTTTACCTCTTTCCTAAGCAATTGAGTCAGCAAAAAAAAAAAAAAAAAAATGCCTGGCAGTGTCAAATTAATTTCCCACTTCCACTGAGTCAGAGAACCTAGGGCAAGAAAACTTAGAAAATTCTCTCTCTCTATTCCTGGCCTCAGCAATAAGCACATCAAATTCTATCAGGCTGGGCAGAAGTTCTTCTCATTTAAGATTTCCAGGAAGAACTTTACTGTCAGAAAATGCTTACTTAGTCGGGCATGGTGGTGCGAACCTGTAATCCCAGCTACTTGGGAGGCTGAGGCAGGAAAATCGCTTGAACTTGGGAGGCGGAGGTCACGGTGAGCCAAAATTACATGCCAGTCTGGGCAACAAAACGAGACTCCTCAAAAAAGAAAAAGAAAATGCTTCCTAGTAGTTTGCCTGACTCTGTGTTTCACCTTAAACTCTCCCATCTGTCCACAGAGGAGATGGGAATGTGTGACCTCTTTCTCTGTTGAGTGACCGTTGAATAATTTCCAGTTTGTATCTATTACAAATGATGCTGCTGTGAGCACTCTTGTACACGTTTTTGGATGCCCATATGTATACATTTCTGTTCAACATGTACCCAGGAGTGAAAATGCTGAGCCATCAGGGATCCCTGTGATTAGTCTTGGTAGTTTCTGCCAGGCCATTTTCTAGTGAGTGTACCAATCTATAGTCACACTGGTAGTGCACAAGAGTTCTAATTTCTTCACATCCTCACCAATACACGGTAAAGGATTGCATGGGGAGGGTGGCTGGGTTCCCCCCACCCAGCTCAGTCTCAGCGGGTATCACTCCCTTATTCTTATGGAAGGTGTGATGGTATCTCATTGTGGTTTAAATTTGCATTTCCATGGTAATTTATGATGTCAAGCTCCTTTTGCTATGTTTATTTGACATGTGGATATCTGCTTCTGTGAAGTACCTATCCAGTTATTTTTGTCCATTTTTCTAGTATGTTGTCTGTGTTTTTTTACTGACTTGCAGAAATTCTATTTCATATACAGGCTCTTTGTTGCCACATATATTTAAGCTATCTCATCACACCACAGCTCACCTAGTCCCTCTCTTAATGGTGTCCTTTAAGGAAGAGTTCTTCTCAAAATAACACCTGCCAGTCTTAAAAGCCTCAGATTCTGAAGCTCCATCTGTGCTCTGCTCTGGACCCATCGATGCCTGACTCCCTCTTGAACTGAGGATCCTGTGAACCATCCTCAGAGCTCCACTTCCCCATCCCATTGCAGCATCCACACACATCTGCCTCTGGAGACATGAGGGCCTCCGAAGCTGGGAGGTCACTTGGGGGTCAGGGGGTAGATGAGCTTAGTTTTCCAGTAGTGCGCTGTCTCCCAGGCTGAACGATGCTGAGGCCAGGCACATTCAGGCAGACTCTGGATCTTTCTAATGGAGGTGTCCCATAGCCATGGTCCATCCCAGTTCCCTGGCATGGGCTTGATGAAGCCACAGAAAATGTCAGGGATTTATTAGTGATTTACCAATTCCTTCGTGCTTCAGGTTCAAGAAAATGTATTCATGTAATACTTCTTCAACCAAAGAGGAAACACCAATTAGAGCTTTTTAAGTTTCTTTCCCACTTCCTTTTCAACTATCAAGCTGTAGCACCTCCCAGCTCAGGTCACCCACCCAACCTTCTGGCCTGAGGCCTGGTTGCTCTCTGCCAGCTTCGCCCCTGCCTGAATCTGACCTGTGTTCCCTCCTCTGTGCCGGGACAGGCCCCATGCTGCTCTGGATGGCTGTGCTGCTCTTCGGTAAGTCACTGAGCATGGACATCCCCTCCCAGAGCACTAAGGATTATAAGTCATCCCTGAGACACCAAGTTTCTCATCATCCCTTTCCCAACTCCGGTGGGTTTGTGGCTGGAGCTCAAGACAGGTGGGTGCACCTGGGCATGCTTGGGAGAGATGGGCACTGGGATAAGAGGGTCTCCTCAGTGTTTCCTATTCGATTGTCCTGGGTTCTTGGCAGGGCAGACCTTCGATGTGTCAGAGATAAATTAGGGACACAGAAAAACACATTACAGGGCCCCCTTACATCCCAATGACGTTTCTACCTTATGACGTCGGGTTAAAATACTCATCAGAGTTGCCTCAAAAAGAAATTGAGGTTACAGAAGGGAAGGAGGCTGCTGGGGGCAACAGGGCAGGGTCAGGGAAATGAGGGAAAACAGTCCCTAGCATTTTGCTTAGCAATGGGAGGTGGAATTCTACAGGGTGACATATTTTTATGGAGCCTCTGCGTTTTCTTAGAACCAGTTAACAATGGCCAGACTTCTCACCTGGTTGAAAGGCCTGTGCTCTGAGTAACCAAAGACCTTTTCAAATTGATGGTCTCTCTTCTGCCTACATCTTCTCTCTGTTGGGAGCTGTTTCAGATCCATGGACTGGTTTGAAGAATCAAATCTGTTATCCTAGCCAGGTCTCTCTTCTCTTCATTTCTCCTCATGCAGGTTACTTGTAACTGAGGGAACTGGTCTAAGGGTAGAGGACTGCACAAGAGGGTCACTGCGCTCCCCCAGACCCAGCTCAGTCTCAGCCAGTGTCACCTGCCTTATACCTAAAAGAAATAATTTGCACATATATTTTGTTTCACTTTATAGTTTCCAAGTGGACATATTTTTTGTTTAATTCTTGATCCTAATGGCTTGTTTGCTGTTTATTTTCACTGAACTAAATATAACCTCTTCCTGAACAGACTTTTTGAGAATTTGACCCTGTGAGGAAAATGCCTGTGCACTCAATGTTCCTTCTCCAGCATAGCATGCTACGCTGTTTGTTCTATGGATGGGCATTTGGACAAATGAAAAGGTCTAATGCTCACACTGAGGCAGGGACCGGATGGCCTAGTGCCTGGACATACGCCAGGCAAAAGACTCCCAGGGACAATTGGCACTACCCTGCAAATTCATCTAGATACAGTCTGCGAGTATTCCAGCTTGGAACCCAGGACAGGGATGACAGACAGCAAAGGAGGAGAGAAGGGAGTCAGTGACCAGCTGACTGGTGCACCGTGTAATGGAGAACACAGCACCAGCAAATGTGGTTCCACTTGATGCTCAGGGACCCCGGAAAAACAGCCTAAAACACAGGCCCTGGGGCTGGGTGTGTAGGAACATTTACCATACTGTAAGTGTAGAGCTGCTATTTCTGCTCTCTAGAGCAGGATGTGGTCACAATAAGTTGGTGGCTATTACTATTATTGGCTGTCAGGGCTCCAGGAGGCTAGGAACCCTGACACTAAACATGCTGGAACCTGGCTGAATTCTAAACATGTATTTAACATTTGGGAAAGTAGCCTTAATTTTCTTCTGAGCTGAACATTAGGCAACTTCCGTCCTACCACTGGAGCCTGCCCCTGCATATTCACACAGCATCCACAGGAGGTGTGTCACGGGGTCCCATACAACCCTCCCAGCAATGTGGCTGCTGCAGCTGGCACAGCAGCATGTCCCACAGTGGTAGATCTCAGTGATGAGATAGTTCTCCCTGTTGAGCTCAAAGCTGCCTCCCTGATCCCTCTAGTTTCCATTTCTGTCCTATAAAGTGACTCAGAATAAGTCTCTCCCTTCTTTTAAGATTAGCCCACCAAGTATTTTGGGTACCTCCTCTGTTGCATGCTTCCCAGATAAATACCTCCCAATCCCCCAGCAACTCTAAGAGGAAATTATCCTGCTCCTAGAGTTGGTAGGGCAGGGGGAGGCTGCTGCCTTCATTATTCAGAACTCTATAATACAACTTGGTTTGACAATAACTCTTGACCACCTCAACACACTGTCACCTCATCTTCAGCATATAGCTAACGGAGGTCCCCGGCCCTCATTGCAGGAACTGCTGTGAGCAGGTGTCACCCACTGTGTATGTCCCCAGTTGGCTGCTTGTTTTGATTACAGGAGGCAATTTTGTAACCCCGCCTCCAAGATCTTGCAGTATCATGAGCAGCAAGTCATTGGGATTTGCCGGCATGAGCTCATTTTATGTGCATCTATGCTTCCTGAATGCCTTCTCTCTTGTTTCTGGTTTCGGTAGCCTCAACCCTGTTAGTTTAGCACTTTGTAGCTGCAAAATTGTTTTCCAGTGAGGAGGGGAAGGGAAAGAAGACATAACTACAGAGTAAGGTCTCTGTCACTCTGGGGTCAGGCCTTCTTTCTGCTTTCAGTTAATGTAGTAACCACTTTCCCAGGCAGTGGGCCAATATAACCTTCACAACTACACTGTAAAAAAAAGAATGACTATTATCATTTCTATTATGTGATATGACAGAATGAGATATTGAAGGCTCTGGAATTTAGACAACTTCAAAGTCATACAGAAAGAGGGAAATTCATGACTCAAGTCCAGGTCATCTGATTCCAAGTTCTGCATGCTTTCCACTACACCAAGCTCATAGATGGAGGTTAAAGGTGGAGATGGGGGGATGATAAGGAAAAGACTCATTGTTCTGTACACTCTTGAGGACTTATGACTGAGCTGACCCTGAGCTGAATAGAGAATTGAGCTGAAAGATTCCATCTGTGTCCAAAGCAGTGTAGAAAGTAAAGATGACACCATGTGACACAGCCAAACATCTGCTCTTGGAGGGTTTTCACCCACCCCTCCCAAAGCCAATCTTGCATTTTTTTGTGTTATGCAAAATACCTAGGACGTGTCAGCAATGAAGGACACAAGTAAATGTATGAGGATTGGCTGGACTCACTGCACTCAGCCCTACATTCATTCATTGTTTCGCCCCTTGCCCCAAAGTCCAGAATATTCTTCACTGCTTCATATCCAACTATGCCTTTCAATTTAGGGTCTTCCATTGCTTGGGCTATTCAAACCTATCTAAGCCATATCTGTCATCATTTTGTGAGCTGGCCTCTCTTCCCAGGCCACCTATTCTCCTCACACATTCGCTCATTTAAAAGCATAAATGCAGCACACACAAGATGCAAGCATGTTGTGGGATGCATCTGATTTGTCTGTAGTTCTCTCATTTGTCCATGCTGCCTGACAATGTCTTAAATCTTTAATGATTACTCTTTCAGGGAAATTTGCCTCCTCAGTCTGATCATTTCCATACTCTTTTCACCAGAGCTCTGTGGACAGATAAGACCACAAGAATCAGCTCCTGCCCTTACTGTATGGGCTCTCCTGTAGATGTTGATGGTAGGACCCTCAGGCACATTTGTGCAAGAGTCTAGTCCTGTGTTTTCTACTTTTTGCTTCCCACCCCATACAACTGGATTCAAAAAGCATTCATGCATTTATTCAGCAGATACTTACTGAACACAGACGATATTCCAGGCACAGGTCCTAGGCATAGAAAATATGGCAATGAGTAAGATAGGCAGAGTCGCCACTACTATGGGGTTTACATTCCAGACAGAGAGACAGGGAATAACATATAGGCAATTTAAGGAATAAGATAAATTCAAATAGTGATAAGTGCTTTGATGATAATATAACAGGGCATCATTTTAGTGATTGGGAAAAATTCTTTTGATTGGGATCCCAGGGAAGATCTGTTTGAGAAGGCAGCATTTAATCTAGATAGGGCAAAGAGTTCTAGGGAGATCTACCGTAGACGTTGAGTGGTCAAGTGGCTGGGTGGTTGGGTGGCTGGGTGGTTGGGTGGTTGGATGATGGAATGGCTAGGTGGCTGGGTGGGTAAGTGGTTGGATGGTTGAGTGGTTGGGTGATTGATTGCTGGGATGTCTAGATGGCTAAGTGGTTGGGTGGCTGTGTAGTTGGACAGTTGGATGGTTGATGGCTGTGATGCTTGGTGGTTGAGTGGCTATATGAATGGATAGTTAGAAGATTGTGTGGATGGGTGGGTGGGTGGTTTGGTGGCTGGGTGGTTGGATGTTTGGGTCGTTGGTTGAACGGGTGTAAGTCCCTATTGCTGAAGTAACAGGCCTCCCTGTCAGAAAGCTGTTTTTGCTACTTAACCTAGTTGTGTTACTTTGTTCTCTTGCAGTTCCCTGTGTTGGGAAAACTGGTAAGTTTTGTCCATGCCTCTTTTAGCTCAAAGTATGTCTATGGGCCAAAACTTACTGGATGGGAACAGGACAGTGCCATGGGGTCACCCAGCAACATCTGCAGAGCCACACCAGACTAGGCCTCTTCCTCAGGGCTCTTGGCCTGTTCCCAGGAAGAAGAGACACCTGGAACTCCACTAGTCTAAGGCCAAGGGTAGTCCTAGGGTGACCCAAGCCTCATCAGGGGGGTTCTAGGCCTCTATTCTATTTCCATAAAACTGACTATAGCCTCTGACTTCTCTCCATGTGGATCTGGAGCTCCTATATTCTCAACTCAACAATACCGGGACTCCATTCCTTCCTTTTATGTTCAGAGAAGCAGGCACCTTTGTCTGCTGATCAGTCTTCCTTCCTTCCTCGGATCCCCTTCCTTCCATGCCATTCTGTCCCACTGACCTCCATGGAGCTTTCTGTCAAATAGGAAAAATTCTCATCTATGAAATCTTGACCTCCAAGGATATGTTCTGTGACTGCAGGGGGAGAGAATTCAAACCAACACTTAGTGCTGCTAGAAAAAGCAGCTGTGGGAGCAAGGCTTACCATTTAGTAATGCAGTGGGCATCATTACTTCCAGGGTGAGGAGAGTGGGTCCTAAGGATCCAGAAGATCCAGGCAAGAGCAGGATGTGCTGGGGCTCCCCAACTGCTTACTCCTCATTACTCTCAGGCCACGAGGCCTGCTCAGAAGGCTGTCTGGGAATGGGGGTGTCTGGCTTATCAAAGAGATGTTACAGCCAGGGTACAAGCTCAGCCTGCCCTGCAGGCAATGCTGCTGCTGCTGCCCTGCAGGTGATGGTGGAGCCCTGGACGCTCTTCTGCTCACATCAGGGCATAGAATACATTTTAGGAATAGTGACAGAGAGAACGGATCCCTTCCATGACAGTGGTGGAAGCTGAAACCCTGCTGAATGGGGAGATGGAGGCTGGGCCTCGGAAAACCCAATGAGGAAAGCAGAAAGGAGACAGCTAAGGCTGTGGCACCTCCAACACTACCAACTGCTTTCTGGTGGACAGAGATGCCGCTGTTATCAGAAGTGAAGGCTGAAGAAAGTGTCACACTAGGTAGCCAGAGGATGAGAAGTTAGTCCAGGCTGGAGGGAATTGAGTCAGGAGGAATGAGGCAAGACAATGAACAGGATGAATGCAATTAAGCCAAGCTTGCCAAGGCAGACAGGGAAGTGCAATATAAAGAAGACAAGGAGGGTGGGTAGGAAGAAAGCCAGAGAGAAGACACAGGGAGAGGAGAGAATGTTGGGGAGGGGAAAGGAATAAAGAGAAAAAGGGAAGGGGAAGGAAAGAAGGAAAGGAGGGAGAAGGAAGGAAGGAAGTCCAGGTCCTGCCCTGCCCTGGCCGGCATGAAGGACTGGAGACAGAGACACTGCACTGGTGCCTTCCAAGGGCCTGCATCCCCAGCAGAGGCCTTAGGCTGGGGGACAGAGGGAGAGAAGTGACCCATGGGACCTGCTGCTCCAGGGTTTCCCTGTTTCTGTGTGTCACAGACTGGCTGTACCTCAAAGCCTGGCCAAACCCTGTGTTTGAAGGAGATGCCCTGACTCTGCGATGTCAGGGACGGAAGAATGTATCACTGTCTCAGGTGAAGTTCTACAAAGATGGGAAAGTCCTTCGTTTCTCTAAGGGGAAGCAGACTCTGTCCATGGGAGCAGCAACAGTGCAGAGCTGTGGCCAGTACCACTGCACGGGGCAGGTGATGTATATTTCACAGCCGTTCGCACAAACTTCAGAGGCTGCCATGGTTCAAGTCCAAGGTGAGCCACCAGCTTGGGAGTTTGTGGGGCAGGAGGTGCCACTCAGGGGTCCTGTCTCTAGAGGTCAGTAGCTCTCTGGGAAGGACCCCTGTCTCTGGCTGCCCCTCATGCTGGGCCAATGTGTGGGGTCCTGAGGTTTCCCAAGATGTTGTATGAACGTCCCCCTCCCCACCATGGGACACATCTGGAACCAGGGGAAGGAACAGAGAGGTCCCTGGGAGGGGGTGCTGGGAAGAGGATGGACCAGTCCAGGCTCACCCTTCCCCTCTGTGGACTGGAGGACCTCGAAGGCCCCCACTGGCTGTGAGGGAGTCATTTCAGAGCTTGTGGGTGAGGACAAAAGGACAGCTCCTGGGGATGAAACTGCCTCCCATCAGGGTCCCCACGCTGCAGCATGGGATGAGTAGAAGCTCAGGCCTCAGCCTCCTGGGCTTCATCACCCTGGACTTGCCTCCTGAGCCCTGGGCCTGCGTCTCCCCAGAGCTTTTCCCACCTCCTGTGCTGAGTGCCATCCCCTCTCCTGAGCCCCGAGAGGGGAGCCTGGTGACCCTGAGATGTCAGACAAAGCTGCACCCCCTGAGGTCAGCCTCGAGGCTCCTCTTCTCCTTCCACAAAGATGGCCGCACCTTGCAGGACAGGGGCCCCCACCCAGAACTCTACATCCCAGGAGTCAAGGGAGGAGACTCTGGGCTTTACTGGTGTGAGGCGGCCCCTGAGGGTGGCCAGGTCCAGAAGCAGAGCCCCCAGCTGGAGGTCAGAGTGCAGGGTAAGTACACGAGGGCGGGGAGACGCCCCCAGGGGTCTGGGCATGGGGCAGTGGGACCCCCTGGGAGGAAGGGAGTTGGGAGAAGGGTCCCTGGGAAAGGAGGAAGCCAAGTCCTGGGTGGTCAGGCTGAGCCTCCCACCCCATATGTGTCCCAGCTCCTGTGTCCCGCCCTGTGCTCACTTTGCACCATGGGCCCACTGACCCTGCTGTGGGGGACGTGGTGCAACTCCTCTGTGAGGCCCAGAGGGGGTCCCCTCCAATCCGGTATTCATTCTACCTTGATGAGAAGATTGTAGGGAACCACTCAGCTCCCTGTGGTGGAATCGCCTCCCTGCTCTTCCCGGTGAAGTCAGAGCACGATGGTGGGAACTACTCCTGCGAGGCTGAGAACAGCATCTCCAGAGAGAGGAGTGAGCCCAAGAAGCTCTCTCTGAAGGGTGTGTTTTGTCCTCCACCAGAGCTTTGAGCCCCAGCAAGCTGACAGGGTTCAGATCTCACCCTCTGTGTACCTGCCACCATACCTGGCACAGTGCTGGACCCATGGTAGCCACTGCATGACCAAGCGTGGACCCTAACTGGTCCATCTGTCCACTGAGCCTGGCAGGGAAATACTGAAGTCCATGGAGAGTGGGGAGCATCGTGGGAGGAGCAGCCATGTGGTCGCTCACGGTGTCGCCGTCATCCTTGCTGGCATCTCCTGAGCCATCCCTCACGCCCCTCTACAAGGCTCCTCCAGGCCAGACGGCTCCCCCAGTACCAGTCATTCTGCCTCCTGTGCCAGGCTGCAATGCATTTCTGAATTTTATCCTTAGTGCTCACGGCCACCTTCCTCTCCCCACTCCCAGGTTCTCAAGCCTTGTCTACTCCCACCGGCAGCAACCGGCTGGTTCCTTGGCTGCCTGCGAGCCTGCTTGGCATGATGGTCATTGCTGCTGCACTTCTGGTTTATTTGAGACCCTGGAGAAAAGCTGGTCAGTAACTCTCCTTGGCTTTCTTAGCTGCTGAATCCCTGTGCCAGGCCCTGCGTAACCTTTGAAAAGCCAGAGTCTGACACGACCAGCCACTCTCTTCTCCTGGGTGCAGGGTGGGAGGAGGGACTTCTCTCCCTGTGTTACACAAAGGGACACATGGAAGGACAGCTAACGCTTCCAAAACATACACACACATGCACTCACTCACATGCTCGCAGTCATCCAGAGATGCTTGCAAACATGACCACACACTCAGGCATGAACAGAACATAAACCGAAGAATTGTTACAAGCCAAACATGATGCATGTCAATGTCCTTTACGTTAGAAAGACAATCTGTGGGTAGGAATATGACTGAAAAGCAAACAAAAAAAAGACCAAAGTCTCCACCTCTCGCTCTCATTGAGCTCAGCAGAGCTCCGGTCTGCTTAGCAGAGGAGAAAGAAGACAGAACGGCAGTGCATATGTACAGGCTCACTCACACACACTCACGTTGTACAGTACTTTACTGTAGCAGAGTGTGCAAAGGATATTAACTATCAGAAAGGAAATATGATCAACAAGACTGAGCCACGGCCTGGCCCCAACAGTACCTTTAGTTCCATAGCCTTGCACCAGTTCACTGTAAGATTCACTAAATCAGCTTCCTCTTCAGGGATACTGTAAGGGTTTAAGTTAATGAAGAGCATTTATCTAGTACCTCATGTATTAGACTGGCACATAGTGGATGCTCAGTAAATTCTCATTCTAATCTAAGCAGATCACACCAGCAGGTTCCCAGGCTGCCCTTTCTCCTCTGTGCATTCTCTAACGCTTGTAATCAAAGTCACTAAAAAGAAAAGGGTTGGTTAAAATTCTGATGTGGAGGAAAACAATCAGACAAATGACATTTCAGGTTATGTATTTATTTTGATATTCCAGACTCTCTTCTTCTTCCTGTCTCAGTCGTGATAATTAAGAATGAATGTTGGCTTTCATTCACGCGTGGCCACGCGTTTATTCCGACTCTAACCTTTGCTCGCCTCAGGCCACGTGTAAGGAATGGCTGCCCGTGCCAAAGCTATCTGGTGTCAGTTCATTCGTAGGGCTTCAAATCCGCCTACAGAGGTTCGAATAAACCCCACTTCCTCCTCTGCAGGGCAATGTTTTTATTTTCTACTTGTCTAGGACAAAAGTCATTGCTCTCATAGACCTCCAAAGCTATTTGCTTATTTAAGTTTGCGGCTCTCTCTGCTGAGAAATTTGGGATGAACTTTCCAGGAGCTGGGCCAGCCCGCTAATTAAGGAAGAGCACCCAGTCATATGTTCAAAGCATTCCTTCCTGCACTCACCAGGGTGGCTGAAAGGGTCTCTCCCCATCCCTAGTCCCAACACCCTGCCTCACCAGGCGCCTAGTGAGGGCTTGGACCAGACTTCAACTTCCTCTCCCCTTTTGAATTTGTAGTCTTCTGTCCATACAACTTCCTATCCCCACCCTTCTCACTAGTCTTGAGTCTGAATTCAACATAGGCTAGGTTTGCTTTAAGGTGTCCCTTTATAGTGGGGAAAGGAGAGGAGGCCCAGAGCTATTGGGGAGGCAGCTGGAGCAGGGAACCACAAACCAAAGATCTGTGAGTTCTATGTCATTGTGTCTAATAAAACCTCCTCCAGATGATGCAATCTTCCTTTGCTCCAGAGTCTAAGTCTAAACAGGCCAGTCTCCACAATAAGATGGAGTCAAGAAGACCATGAGCTTCAGCCACAGCTATCAGAGTCAGGTGGCAGAGATGGGGGAAAGGCTGGTCCTTTAACAGAGAAATAGGCCATGTGGCATCATGGGAAGAGTGTGGGTTTCAGAGCTGTTGGGGAGGCAGCTGGAGGAGGGAACCACAAACCAAAGATCTATGAGTTGTATGTCATTGTGTCTAATAAAGCCTCCTCCAAATGGCCTCAGTAACACAGGAGTTTCTATTTCTGTCCACTCACCTCTGAGTCAAAGCATTAAAGGCAGAGTAGTGTGGCACAGCTGTCTCCCTCTCCAGCCCCAGACAAGATGGTGAAAGCGTGGTCACTAGTGAAAGATCCTCAAGAAGAAGATGCCTTTCACAGGGAACAAAAGAGCATCCTCTTGATGTAGAGTTTATATACCATCACCACCAATCTTGAGCAGATGGGCTCCATTTTACCAAGGAGCCTGTCCCTCATGCAAACAGGACTGCTGGTGGTGATCTTAATATCTCAGAATGTCGGGCACAGAAAATATTCTTTAGAATATTGCTCAGAAAGTCACTTTCAGACCCAAATCATAGCTACACAGGAAAAACAGCCAGATCAATAGCCTTATTCTCCACACCCAGTTCTAAGAGACTCACAACCATTTCCAGCTAGCATAGCCATTCTTCAACAAACGGAAATATGCCACCATCAAAGACAGTCAACAGATGTGATGTCCAAAGTCAATTTTTAGAACATTTGACCAATGGTGGTGTTACTGGAACGAGGATATGGTCATGCAAGGGGTCCACTTCAAAGTGCACTCACCTGCACATACAGGTTCTGCTGTGCTTGTTTAAAAGTGTTCCTTTTACTACCTGTTGTCACGCATTGCATAAAACAAAAGTCTGCCAAACTCATGGAACTCTTCATTGAATGGAGACTCAGGAACTGAGGCTCATTTCTCAGCCCTGACAAATGAGCATTGGAGAATGCTTAATCATCAGGGATCTGTCTAGGTGTCCATAAATGTCCTCTTGATTTTATAGAAGAAGCCATTTCCACATATTCTACCCAGTGATTCTGATGCTTTCCAGCTGTTAGGGTAGTAAATATTTCTTGGGCACCAGGCATGAACCAAGTGTTCTAAAATCTACATGTGACCCAATTCCTATCCCAGGAGTTACCTTTAAAGTTATGGAACCACCTGCTGTTTCAGAGGCAGTGTACTAATGGAGAAAGGGCGTGAAACCTGGATTAAAATTCTGTCTCCACCACTTACTATGACCTTAAAGAAGTCACCTCTCGCAGCCCCAGTCACCTCATCTATGAAATGGAGATAAAAGTATCAACCTTTGCAAGATGGTTGTGAAGAACATTAGACACCAAAGAATTAGAAAGTGGGGTGTTTTTGAAATTCTACTATGTGCTGGTCCCTGGTAGGTGCTTTACTAGGAAGATTATGTTTTATTTGGATTGTCTGGCATATGGTCAAAGTTATTATGTTTTCTTCCTTCAGAAAAGTGGCCTGAGTTGTAAGCCTAGGCCCTCTCCATGCAAAAATGTAATCCATTCTTGCTGATCTTACTTCCTCCTAGTTTGTGATTCCCAAGGAGCCATCTAGGGTATTTTTTAAAGGAAACATCCCGTAAAAACCAACCATGTCCAGACCTGTGAATCAGCCCTTCTAATCAAACCAGCCTCAAACTTCCAGTGTCCTCTCTGCCATTCTTGCTCACAGCTTTCCTGTCCCCTGTCCCACCTGCCTTCTAAGGGATGCCCAGTGAATTGTGCCTTTATATCTCCTAGGACACCTTCCATCCCAGTTACCACCCATAGCTCCAGGTGGAGAGCAGTGCGCACTATATGCCAATGGTAAGGACTTCCAGCAGGATAGTGCTCTGCCCATGTGGGCCAAGAAGAGCTTCTTAAGGGCAGTAAGAAGAAGGAAGCTCTCCCCAGATGACTCCAATTCCTGAGCCCTGTGTCTCAGGAATTGGGGGCATCTGGGGAAGGAAAACAAACAGCTTCTAGGGAGGGCATGATGAGGGAGTGCCGTGGAGCTGGTGGTGAGAGAGGGAGGTGGGAAGGGAGCCAGGGCTGCAGGAGACGGGGCAGGGAAGGTTTAGACCAAGGGTTGGCAAACTTATGGCCCATGGTCCAAAACCAGCACACTGCCTATTTTTGTAGATAAAGTTTTACTATAACACAGTCATGCTCATTTGTTTATTTTGTATGAGAGCTTTCATACTGCAGAGCTGAATCATTGTGACAGAGACTATACAACTCACAAAGCCAAAAATATTTACTGCCTTTTTGACAGAAAAACTTGGTCGACCTCTGGTTTAAACCATATCAGGGCTAGGGAAGCTGCAAAAAATTGCTAAGGGGTCCAGACTCCTCCTGCCATAATGGCTGCCCCCACGTTAGTGACCAACCCCATTGCCACTTATCACCATGACAGAGCCCCAGTGGGCTTCTCTCCATGTCTTCAGGACACTTGTGGCATGAGGTGGGAGAGTCAGGTGGATCCTCTTTCAGCCTCATTCCTTCTCCAGTGCATCACCAGGAAGAGGAAGATGAAGGTGTCGTCTACTCTGTCGCGCGTGGAACCTCAAGGAGGAGTGCAGGTGAGTGATCTCAGGCCAAACTTCGTACCTTTGCGAACAGAAGTTTTGGACCTATGATGACAGTATCACTGCAACTGTCATTACCACCTTATCATCACTGTCATTACTGTGACCACCACCACCACCATCACCTCCATCATTGTCACCACCGTGTCCTTCACTACCACCTCCACCTTCACACCATCATCAATGCTACCACCACCCATCTCCTCCTCCATAGCACGCTCACCACAAACAAGTCTAGGACCACTACATTCACCCCATTCTCAGCATCATCTCCTCCACCACTGTTACCAGGGTAACTGCAGAGAGTTTTTTTTCCCTTTCCCAAACACTGGGAAGGACAAAGAAAAGAGGAAAAAAAAAATGATGTAATCTTCCTTTGCTCCAGAGTCTAAGTCTCAAGAGGCCAGTCCCCACAATAAGATGGAGTCAAAAAGACCATGAGCTTCAGCCACAGTTCTCAGAGCCAGGTGGCAGAGATGGGGGAAAGGCTGGTCCTTGCACAGAGAAATAGGCCACATGGCTTCATGGGAAGAGTGTGGGTTTCTGAGTCTCAGAACTGAGTTTGAAACCTGACTCTATGTACCTACTCACTGTGAACTCGGCAAGTCAAGGGCCCTCTCTGAGCATAACCTATAAGAGGAGACAATGCCTGCTCTGCAGGATTGCTATAAGTTGTTGGGAATGGAACCCAGGTTCTAGAAACAACCCTTAAAAATTGTCTACATGTAATAGATGTTCAAAAACAGGGAGTTTTATTGCTGCTGTTGTTTTAATGTCTTACCCGCTCTGCTATTTCAATTCCTAGTCTGCAAAAATAGGGCGAATTGGCCTAAGGTTTCTGCTCCTTCCTGCAAATGGCAGTAGGGAAATGAACAACCAAGGAGTCTCTTACCTGAGGGCAGGTTGCCCAGGACCTGAGGTCACACCACGGGTGTGTAGTCCAACTGGAACTAGAACCCAGGTCTCACAATTCGAGGTTGAGGAGTAAAAGGAATCTCTCCTGCTGGGTTCCCTGGCTCTCCAGAAGAAGACAGCCAGCCAGGAGGGGTGGGAAGGAGAGGTACTTGCTGTGGCGCACAGAGACCTGACCTGAGTGCACTCTTTCCCCACAGCCCGGCCTGCTGAGTTCACCGTGGGAAGAAAGGTGAGCTGGGATCCCTGTTCCTTTCTCACCCTCTGTCTTACATCTGCCTCCTCATCCTGAGCCAACTCTTTCACAGGACACTTCTGTCATCTATGCAGAGGTGAGATGCCTGCAGCCCAGTGAGGTTTCATCCAAGGAGATGAATATAAGAAGCAGGACCCTCTGAGATCCCCTTGACGGCTGTGAGGAGATTCTCTGCTAGTGATGGTGTTTTCCTGTCAACACGTGCCCATTCCCAGGCCCCAGTGCTCCCTGGGAGGACAGTGGACTCTTTGCCTCTTTTTGTGGGTCCTTCAGTTCCCAAGCCCATCATCACAGAGCCCTTGAGCCCTTTTCCTGACCAGGAGAAGCTGAACCCTGGATTCTCCTCGTAGCAGAAGAACAAGCAATGGAGTGGGAAGGGAGATGCCCCCACCAACAGACACACTTAAGTTCAAGCAGTGACACTGGACACAGAAGCCATAGATATATTCTTTCCATACAAGCATGTGTTAGAGTCAGTTCCCCCCAATATATGTAATCATCCCCTCCACCACTTAACCAGGATATATATAGGAAATAGTCCTGTGCCACATAACATTTCAGTTAATGACGGACTGCAGACACAACAGCGGTCCCCGAAGAGCATAATGGAACTGAAAACTTCCTACTGCCTAGTGATATAATAGCTACCTTAACATCACAGCACAACACATTTCTCACGCGCTTCTGGCGATGCCGATACAAACAAGCTACAGCGCTGCTAGTCATATAAAAATACAGCACATACAATTATGTACAGTAGCTTATACCTGATAATGATAAACAACTATGTTCCTGGTTTATGTATTTATTATAACTTTTTTTTTGAGATGGAGTCTTGGTCTGTCGCCTAGTCTGGAGTGCAGTGGCACGATCTTGGCTCACTGTCACCTCTGCCTCCCGGGCTCAAGCAATTCTCTTGCCTCAGCCTCCAAAGTAGCTGGAACTATAGGCATGCACCACCACGCCCAGCTAATTTTTGTATTTATTAGTAGAGGTGGGGTTTCACCATGTTGGCCAGGCTGGTCTCAAACTCCTGACCTCAGGTGATCCACCCGCCTTGGCCTCCCAAAGTGCTGGGATTACAGGCATGAGCCACCGTGCCTGGTCCTGAATTTACTATAACTTTTTATCGTTATTTTGGAGGATATTCCTTCCACTTATTAAAAAAAAAAAAAAGTTGACTATGAAACAGCGTCAAGCAGGTCCTTCAGGAGGCATCCAGGAGGCACTGTTATAATAGGAGATGACAGCTCCGTGTGTGTAATTGCCCCTGAAGACCTTCCAGTGGAACAAGATGAGGTGGTGGAGACAGTGATATTGATGATCCTGACCCTGTGTAGGTCTCGGCTAATGTGTGTGTTTATTTATGTCTTAGTTTTACACAAAAAAGTTTAAAAAGTTAAAAAATAATAATAGAAAAAAGCCTATATAAAAATATTTTGTATAGTTGTACAATGTGTTTGTTTTAGTCTATTACAAAAGTCAAAAAGTTTTAAAAACCTAAAAAGTGTATAAAGTAAAAATGTTACACAGAGCTAAGGTTAATTTATTACTGAAGGGAAAAAAAAAATTTTTTTTGAGACAGAGTCTCACTGTGTCCCCCAGGCTGGAGTGTAGTGGCACGATCTCGGGTCACTGCAACCTAGAGTCTCACTCTGTCCCCCAGGCTGGAGTGCAGTGGCACGATCTTGGGTCACAGCAACCTCAGCCTCCCGGGTTCAAGTGATTCTCCTGCCTCAGCCTCCCGAGTTGCTGGGATTACAGGTATGTGCCACCACACCTGGCTAATTTTTGTGTTTTTAGTAGAGATGGGGTTTGGCCATGTTTGGCAGGCTGGTCTCAAACCCCTGGCCTCAAGTGATCCTCCCGCCTTGGCCTCCCAAAGTGCTAAGATTACAGGCATGAGCCATCATGCCCGGCCTGAAGAAAATATTTTTATGAATTTAGTGTAGTCTAAGCATACAGTATTGATGAGGCCTGCAGTAGTGTACAGTAACGTCCCAGGCCTTCACAATCATGCACCACTCACTCACTGACCCACCCAGAGCAACGCCAGCCCTGCAAGCTCCATTCATGGTAAGTGTCCTATACAGGTCTATTTTTTAATCCTTTATATTGTATTTTTACTGTACCTTTTCTGTGTTTAGATATGTTAACTACAAAAATATTATTGTATTACAGTTGCCTATTATATTCAGATTTGTAGCCTAGAAGTAATAGGCTATGCCAAAAAAAAGAAAATGAAAAACAAACAAAAAATAAAGAATAGGCTATGCCCCGTAACATAGGTGTGCAGCAGGCTGTACCATCTGGCTTTGCGTAAGCACACACTGTGATGTTTGTACAGTGATGAAATGTCCTGGCAACGCATTTCTCAGAACGCATCCCTGTCATTAAATGACTCGTGCATAACTTTGTACATGTGTGTGTGCACGTACGCTTCTCTTATGGTCCTCAGTTCCTTTGAATATGCTTACCTTGACGCCGAAAAGAAAGAGCATCTGCTGCCCTTTCAGAGTCCTTGGCAAGTCAGAAATGCTTCGGGCTGTATTTGCATGCACTTATTTTAAAAAGGGAAAAAAAAAAAAAAACACATTGTAATTTTGCCTTGCTGTCTGTTTTTTCTCATCGCTGGCCCCTTTCTCAATCCAAAGGCCAATAGACGGAGAGGGAAAAGAAATGAATGAAAGGGGCACTGTTGTTGAGTGGTTCTGCCGGCAGAAAATATTACCAGGTTTACCCCAAAACGTTGTTCTCTCCGAGGAACAGGAAAACATTTTGAATCTCTCTCTATTTTGTTCTTAAAGGTCAGTTCTTGGGATATTGATGACTACTGTCTGAGAGGTGCTGCAGGGAGATTTTCAGGATTGTGTGGTCTTTGAGGCGGATTTTTTTTAAGACAACATCGACCACTGTTCACTGTCCACGTGATCACTGTAAGATTGCAATGCTGCATGCTAGTTGGTGACATAAGATGCAATTCCAGTGACCAAAGGTGGTTATAACGGATGGTGGTGTGTTCAAGATGGCACTGGCACCTTTGAGCAGAGCCTGGCTGTGCAGCACCATCTGATTGATTTAAACACCCTAGAGGTCTGGTTGTTGCTGTTGCCCTTTCCTGTGAAATCACAAGAGAAGTTACAGTCTAGGTGAACTTGGAGTTTATAGGGTTGGTTTTGTTTCTGTTTTATTTTGTTTTTTAACATTTACCTGTAGTGCTATAGCTGTGGACACTATCACCTGCATGCTATTTCTAGTGAGTGCTATATACAGTATGGGCTAATGACAATAACAGCCCATAGTGCCACCAGGGCTGCCGTGGGCTTATCAGTGACAGCCCCTATGTGGGTGGAAGAAACCTGTCATTTCCTTCTTACATGTGTCTGAAATACTAAATGAATAATTTGTTCTTCTGGGGAAAAAATGATAAGATGGTAAAAACTTTTTTATATTAAGGGTATCATAAAATGGATATGCCCCACCTCTCAAACTGAAAAAAGAAAAGAAAAGAAAGAGCATCACTCTACGTCCCAGAGGGCTAAGCCCAGGGCAGCTCTGAATGCATTTCCAGCTTCCAAGCTGCTGCTGAGCCCATGAGTGACCACAGGGCTGAGGAGCCTCCCAGAGATTCAGCAAGACCAACGTCAGCCGGAAAAGGGCCTGGCCCAGACAAAGTCATAGAATCCTTGACACCAGAGCCAGAGTCCCACAGGCACTGAGAGCTCTGCCTTTCCACACAGCCCCACTCCTGTTCAGATTCCTTCCAGTTTACCAAAAACAGAGCTGAGGCTGGCCCATAGCCCTGGCTTGTGGAGTTACCTAGTTACCCCTTACTTGTTTGAAGAGTTACGTGGTTGCGGCATCTGTTTTTTTGTTAATAGAGGTCTATCAATTGGTTTCATATTGTTCATCAATAGCAACGATTTGCAGTATCTAATAGTTCAATTTGCTTTGTTCAAGGAGTCCATACTCCTTGATAACTGAAAGTGGTCAATAATGGATTCGTTATACTTGCTCCTCTGATGCCCTGTCTCCAGCTTCATACGCCCCTGCTCTGCAAGCAGAGAAAGTAAGGTTTGGCTTACAGGTGCTGGACTGCATCAGACCCCACCCACCTGACTGAAGAAGGAGGCATTAGTGTTATCAGGGATCTCCTGGCACCGTGGAGCTGCAGGCATCTTGCATCTCCCCTGGACCAGCCACGTTGACATCACCTGGGAGGTCGTTAGAAATGCAGACGCTCAAACTCAACTACAGACGTGCTGAATCAGAACCTGCGTCTCAATACCACCTCCAGGCAATAGGTATACCCATTAAAGTTTAAAGTCTAAAAAGGACTGGTCTACTTACAAGATACAGGTTTCATTGGAGAACATCCAACCTCTCCCCATCCTCATCTTTCTCCTCCTGATCCTCCTCTTCATCTCTCTCATACCAGTCCAGTCCATGTCCAGAATACCCCAGGGCTTCTCCGATTTGTCAATAATCAGAGACTCCCCCCACACCCCGGGGAGGACAGAGAAGCACAAGCCAGGTACTCTAGAAGCTCAAGGTCCTCACCGGTCAGTCAGGGTGTACCAGCAGAACCCAAGTCCTTGCCACTCCATCTATAAAACAATGCCCCTTTGTAAAAAGTCAAAACATAGACAAGACAGCTCATGAAGGAAAACTGATGATGGGGACTTGGGAGGGACCAGCCCTTCCAGATGTCCCCAGAGTCCACTCCTTCTTGAGTTTTCACATCTTTCCCCACCCCGTCCCACACCAGTAATATTCAATATATGGGCCATAACTTCATGCCAGTCTGTGAACTGATTTTTACTAGTCCGTGACAAGTTAAGTAGAAAAATTGAAGCAAGAATTTAGAAACATTTAGAGCAATCTGACAAAGTAATTTTATGTTTGTTTAATACAATCATAAAAATCAGGGCTTATCTTTTGTATGTCTTCTTAATTTCATTTTTCTAGTAGTTTTTTTCAAATATCTCTACAAAACTATAGGCCTGCAATGAACTGGAAATTAAAAAATAAAAAACAGGTCCTTCAATACAGATAGGGGAGAAGCCCTATCCTACACAGACACACACACACACACACACACACACACACACACTATCGGTCTGGTGTCTGAGGCACCTTGCTCTCTGCCTGGAACACCTCTTCTCTCCACCCAGCTCTATTTGCACGGCTGAAAACCTTTTCCCTTTGTTTAGAAAAGAATGAGCTGGGATTTTTCCAAATGAACAATTACTAAGGAAATTGAAGAAAAAGAAAATCTCAAACAATAACTTAAAGTAGAGATTTCAAAGGAGGCCCTGCCCTTCAGCCCAGTTTCACTGGTTTGCCTGATGTCAGCCCACCAAGCCCTAAAGCCCCATTTCTAGTCCTCAGTTGTCACACTGGTGGGCTGAGGCCATCTCCAAGAAAGAATGGGACTTCCACCGTTCTCTAGAGACAGACCCTGCAGACACTGCGGAAGGGTGCCCTGGGGAGGCCAGAGGGCTGCTTTCCTACTCCCCCTTTTCCATAGCGATCCTGGCCTGCCACAGCACCACCAGCCATGCTGGCCACAGGCACTGGCCACGACAGCCACAGGCACTGGCCACTCCGGCCACAGGACTCCCCGCCAGTAGGTTCCTCACGTTCTCAAGGCTCTGTGCTGTGAAACATTGCTTCTCACTTTAAGTCAAAGCTAAATGCAAACACATATCCAGCCAGAGTGACTTGTCTGTGCCTCATATTAGGGACCTGGGTTCTATGAGGTCCCATTACCTGCAGGGTAAAGACAG